CTCAGGAGGCTACAATCCGAAACCTACCAGCACTACCACCAGCATTGCTCCGTCAGTAACCAAATCATCCCATTCAAGACGTCCCACAAAGCCATCAAGCAGTAAGGGGTCATCGTCTACAAGCTCTGCAGCACCTGCTGCTACCAACAGCCCGTCTTCTACTTGTGCTAAACAAGGTAAAGCATGCACAACTGAGGGGCAGTATGTCTGCGTCGGCACGAGTTTCGCTATTTGCAATCATGGAAAATGGGTTGTCCAACCCTGCGCTGCCGGGCTTACCTGCTTTTCGACAACAGACGCTTCCTCAATCTACTGTGCTCAAGGTACCGGGTCTACCAACAGCTGCGCTATTGCTTCCAACCCTCTATCTGCTGGAGATCCCAACGGTGCCACTGCTAAACCATACAAGAGTTCTCGAGTCAATGCAGAACTGTCTGTGACGAACTCAGACGCCAATGCGTTCGAAGCTGTCATTAATGCCCGCAAACTAGACATCAGACCATTCAAAAACCAAGTCGTTGTCCAATTCAAGGCTCCTAAAAATATCAAAGTCTCTCATGTGAGCAATGGCAAGGTCAAACAGCAAGGCAACGATGTCAAACTCCAGATCAGAAACCCCCACAAGAAAAGCATGGCTGTTGTATTCACAATCAAGGGTAAAGTGGAATCTGGCGTTTTTGCTGCTCCAGAAGCCAAGAGCATGAAATTTAGTTATTAAGAGACTATGGATGATATAGAGATGCTAAGTTTATCTATATATGTTGCCTGTCGTTGTTAATAAAAGTTAATGAGCAAAATTTCCCCTAACTGCACACTTGTTTCCGAGAAGCAATATACCTCTTCTGCAGAGATGGATGTCTAATTGTTCTAACTGCAAATTGTAGGTTGAACATACCACGCTTTACTGGTTTTGAAAGTTTATATGCCTTTCTCTGCTGTTGTACACTTCTCACTTGGCGCAGTAACACCATGGTAAACATATCCTCTTTCCATCAATTAAATCTATACACAATCCAGTACAGTTCAAAACAGCTACCGTGAGACTGTAAGGAATATTATGGACACATGTTTTCCCCGAAACGCTCCGTTCCTGGGTGTATCAATGAATTTCCGAGCTATATAGCCCGAGCCTCCAGTGCCTGCCTGCCTTTCTTTGCACTAACTGCATGAAATATTTGATTTTGCTCAAATACAAGAATGAATAATGAAGATAATTACATTGGGCATTGGTACCGAACAATCGCCCGAAGGCTGTTGCACTCACCTCCTCTCCTCTGATGCTTGGCAGCCAGTCAAGAGGATTTCCCTGTTACAGCTGGTTCTCATTGATAAAACAATGATTCTCCGCTCTCTGGGGAAACAGATAGTCACAGGATTCGATATTTCCGCTACTTATCAGACATTGCAGAAAGCACAGTTCTTTTTTTTTTCTGACCGATAAGACGCACACAATCATGTCCATGAGAACAGCGCTGATGCATTTGACAAGGTCGAGCACTATGGGCTTACGCCGTGCCGTGAGATTACAAAATATCCAAAGACGAACGGTGTTATCGAGCGCCATGACTAATCCAACGCTTCGTCAACCGCTTATGAGAACAAAAGCGCTACTGGGTAGCCAGCAAGGTGGAATCCACACATTTACGTTAGTTGACATTGCTAACCTGACTAGTTCGTACAATGTTTATCCAAACCGAAAGAACGCCAAACGACGAGTCACTCAAATTTATTCCCGGTGTCCCCGTCATGGAGTCTGGCTCGGCTGAATTCCTCGACGTACGCAGTTCTATGAAGTCACCGTTGGCAAAACAGCTATTTCAAATTGATGGAGTTGTTGGAGTTTTCTTTGGACCTGACTTCATCACTATCTCCAAGGATCCCAATAGCGAATGGCAGCTGATGAAGCCAGATGTTTATGCTGCTATTATGGATTATTTCTCATCAGGCCAGCCCATCATGTATGATGAGGCAGATCTGGCAGCCAGTGATACAGCAATTCATCCAGATGATTCTGAGGAAGTACAAATGATTAAAGAGCTTCTAGATACACGCATCCGACCTGCTATCCAAGAAGACGGTGGTGACCTTGAATTTTGCGGATTTGAGGAAGGCATAGTCAAGATTAAACTCAAAGGCAGTTGCCGCGGATGTGACAGCTCGATTATAACCTTGAAAAATGGTATTGAAAACATGCTGATGCACTATATCCCGGAAGTTGAGGGAGTGGAACAAGTCATCGACGAGACCGAAGCTGTGGCGTTGCAGGAATTTGATAAACTAGAGAAAAGGCTAGGAGAAAAGAACTGATGCTCTTAATGGCTGTAATTAGAAAAAAAACCAAACAAACAGAAAAGATTGGAGGCGGACTATATGTTCAGGAAATGGGATAGGATGACATGTATTTAAAGATGATATTTGAAAAAAAAAAAGTCGGATGGGTTCATGGAATAGGGATAAGTAAACCTGCCAGAACATACTGGGTTGAGGTTTATGGATAGGATAAAGTTATGTTTGAACTTCACAAAAATCGCACAAGCCTTGAAAGAAAGGACCGATACGGACGCTATTGGAAACCGCAGCATTGTATCGTGCAAGGGCAGCCTGGTTGTCAGCTGCATTACCATCTTGGTGAAACACACGGCCCCAATGCATACAATGAACTACTCGCAGTATCTTCTCAAGACCATCTTCCAATCGAGCTCTATTTTATACCGGTACAATGGAATGTCGTAGTAGGAAGTCGACACGTTATTATTAACCTTCCTTGCAACACATCTTCGACCTGGAATATTCATTGAGTGCAGTGCCTATGTCTGACTGTGTATGTCATCATATGAATCTTGATCATGGATGGTTCTTATTTCGAAAGTAGAATATACAGTATGCGCGTTGCTTGCTGACGAGCTCTGAGAGGGATTCAAGCGTAATCTTCTATACTTAAAACGAGGAACGGAAGAAAAGTAATTTATCCTATCCCTTTGATACATCGAAGGGGAACGCTTTAACTTCGTTTCACTGATGTAGAATAGTAAAGGATTTTGTGCCTTCCGCATGTAAAGAAAGCTATTGACATGGAAATCTTCAGTTGAAGACTATGCATGACGAATAGTAACCTTCTGCCTACGCAATCAATAGCAGTTAAGTGTATGTCACACCTGGCTGCTGCCCCTTCCCACGGAAAGAGCACGATAGCTATGACTCTCTACAGCATGATAGCGCAATCAACGGTCCTCCAATCAAAGAAATACTTAGCTACTCCACCTTATGATCCATCGAGGTATATGAAAGATGATGTCTTTTAATCTTTCTCTAAGTTAATCGCATTACCGAATTTTGCGTACAATGACTTCTTCAATTCATCCATCTTGCTATGAACACTATCTATGTTAGACTGGATAGCTTCCAGGTCAAGACCAATCTTTTCGGATTCTTTGGCGACTCGTTCGAGGGCATGGGATACGGGAACGTGGACAAAGGTATCGCCAACCTTGTGCCTTACTAACTCGTCCTCGTCAGCCAACTCAAGCTCCATAGACACGTCGTCTAGATATTCTTTTTCTTGCTACAGACGTCTTTAACAAATCTACTTTTACCAGGTTTCGCTACCTTCATTTTTTCATATTGCTCTTCGAGATCATCAATGTTGGCATTAAGCTTGCTGAATTCGTTGATCAATTGTTGGTCTTTCCATGTCACTTCGACATCGGTGTCACTTTCTTCTTTTTGACTTAACTAAACAGGATCAGCATAAGATCAGATAAGGTCACATTTTTATTTGTCTTACTCACCATACGGATGCTTGACATGATGCACGAACGGATGGAAAAATGAGTAGGAAACAACTGATGGGTAACGTTTGACGCGAAGGTTACTGGGTTTTCCGTTGAGATTAAAAAAAATGCTGAGAGGAGAGTTGGAGAGCATTTGCCAATCAAATCAAGACATTGATACGTTAAGAATAATGAACACCAAGAACAAACCTATGATTATGTTATTGTATCTGTCTTTTTAGGTATGGATAGAGGAAGTAGCACGTTGCTTATTTGGAATTACTCCTAATTATCACGAGGCATGAGTAAACGAACTAGCCACAAGCAAACATTCTCGTCACAACCAGGACAGCAGCGAAGATTAAGTACAGTCAACATAACAAGAGGATACACCTCTTTGAGTTTATTTCCTAAAAAAAAGGCAAGTTTAATACATAAACATATTTAAACTGTCGTTAATTGGAACCAATCAAGAGGAAGGTTGCTACTTACTGTTTAGTGGCGCTACTCTCAATTGGATCTGCCTTTAGGAAAAAAGGGGTTCTGCGCTGGTGAATAAATGTATACCATGAATAAATGAGTCGTGGAGACTATCTTGTTTACGTGAATGCAAAATCTCTTTTAGCTACGTTTATAGTTAGTACTTGCTACTGACGGAAATATTGCCGCCCGTGCGGACACCAGTATCCCAACAAATACATCATAGCTATGGGTAAGGGCAATACGTAGCTCCGGGAATGTTCATTCACCATAGGAAATCCACTGGCCCACTGTAGGAGATGTTCGCCTGCCTGCCATTGTAGACTCTAAAAAAAACCGAAACACCAGGAACCATACGGCACTAATCTGCCTAATTGCTTTATGCTTTTTTGGAACTTGACACTTGTATCGTTGTAACTGAAGCTAAAAATAACACTCAACAACATAAGCTTATGCTATCCATAAACGCCAAATAACACATATCACTCCCTGAAAATATTGACGGTCAAGTAGAGAAGATAACAATAGTAGGAGACGATAAAATAGAAGGTAGACAGAAGACAATCTTTATTCTCCTTGATCTGCCCAATACCTACACGTTTTCTATATTAACTAAACCTATGCACCCTATTAAGAAAACAAAATAACAAAAATAAGCCAATTGAGACCATCACATCCCGTAGTGCATGGTCCGAATAATCGATTGGGAAAAAAAAAGTTTGTGTAACATGAAGAAAAAATATCAAAAAATGAGGACTGCGAGATTCGAACTCGCGCCACCGAAGTGAACAGGGCCTAAACCTGTCGCCTTAGACCGCTCGGCCAAATCCCCTTTAACTGACATACAATGTTTTTATAATCTGACATAAACGAATTTAGTATCCATTTTTTCGGTCATAATGAGATAGTATACTTTTTTATCAGTTGATTCATAATTTGTTTTATTTTGCTTGAGATTCAATGTATTTTCTTTCCATTGTTTAACAAAGTCTACTCTTCTCTTATTTATTTACAAGCTTATTTTACATTATCCTAATCTAAAGTTTTCTAACACCTTAATAAATCAAAGAGACTAATTGTTACACTAACATTTGCCGAATGGCAAATGCTAAGAATGAGCAAACAGAACTAACTGTATTGCCAAAAGTAAGCATCGTCACTAAGCTAGTAATAGATTACAATTATCTTCAGTATTGCTTTGATTATGAACAACACCTAAATTCTTTCTTTCCGCAAGAAAAAAAGTCTAGTAAAAAGAACGCCCCGCGATAATTTCTCTATTACGTACACGCCTTCTTTAACATCCTACAGCTTATTTTTGCCAACGTTTCGTTTTTGTTTCAGATTCATTCCTATTCTGGTTCATATCTATTTCTTCACTGTATTTTACCTTTAACCTTTGTTTCAATTTAACGTTTGATAGTATCTTTTATCCTTCTTACACTTTTGTATTAATATAAGCATTGATGGTTTTATTGATAATGTTAGAAGTTCACTCGAAGTCAAAGCTCATCTTTATACGTCTATACTCTATCTATGTATGCATTGATTTTTAAGGTACCCTCGCCAAATAGAATCCACTCTGATTATTTTTTTTATCGTTGATCAGTTCTATACCATTTTATAGTCCATTGAAAAGATCTTACTACGCTTTTTCCTCACTGATACAATCCACGCCAAAGATGTAACCATGATTGCTCCAACAATAGCTTACCTGTTAGTTTTAACGATCTTGTCCTAACAAAACATTTTTTGTTTTACTTTAGAACAAGTGGGACCTTCATTGAAATACTTTTTCGTAACATTTTTACCCTCTTACATATCAAATAAGATCCGGATAATGCCTATCAAGGCTATGCATTCGCTGCTTCTATGTCTTAATTTGCGACGAAACATTGAAAAAACTTAGAATGTAAAAGAAAAGTTAAAGCAGATTTAACTGACTGTAGATTAACATCTCTATATTGATTCTCACCTGTAGGTTGCAACTTTTTACAAAGAAAAACTTTAAGAAATAGGTTCAGCAAGTGGAAAATATACTAGGGGGTTTCACGGTACAATTATTGGAGCGGTGAAAGGTTAAAGGTGAAAGCGGAGCTTTGATGATTTGGCTAGCTGGTGTGACACGAAGTCTTCACGGTGAATATAAACAGTTAATTTCCATATATGGTAGAGCAAAAACTACAACTCTTTGCCTTTACCTTAAATACATTGTGAAAACCGATAGTTTATAAAGATGTACATAATAATAACAACGTACATATCTAGAACAGCGCCACAGCTGTTTAAAACAATTGAAAACAGAATGTGGAAATATACTATGCTATGTAAAATCGTTCTGCTTATTGAGCAATTAATTGTATTATTTGGGGCATTCAGACCATTCACCGCGTTGAAAGAAATACGGCAATCGATATTAGTGCAGCTAGTATATGTTTCCTTCATTGTAACAGGCCGCCAAATACAATTTGCTAGATAGCGCCAAAGAAAAAGTCAGTGACCGCAAATGGATATTGTATAGAGCACAAGTGAAACGCATTTTGCAGACAAGTTAAATTCAGCTTTTCATACTTGCTAAGTATGCTTCCTACAAATATTTGCTTCGAAGCATGTCGTGCATTTCAATACTGCAGCATGCGATAGTTGCACATGTTAAACCGTCATCGACTTGCTGGTCAAACAAGATAGCTAAGCCTATGGATGCATTATGCCACTGGCTGAAGTTAAATCTTTTGTGGCTTCCCATGCTTGAGGCTTTGATCGAGACAAATTTTTGGTTTTAGGTATTTGCATATTCGTGCTTTTGCACTGGATAAGTGGAAAAGCCCCTTGTATGTTTGCCTACGCAATTGTTAGTATTAACAATTTAGCACGCTTTCCAGCTGGCGGGCATTATATGTGGCCATCCAGATTAGAAGTGGCTAAGGACAGTTGTGTTGTTTCAGGACAGTCGATCCCAATCATCTACAGGTACACTGCGCTGGGTTACCCTACACTACAGCTTTGCAACACGTACCACTTGCATATCTTCAGATGATTCAGGATTCCCGGAATTCCTCGGTTAAGTATGGAACCTGAATCATAAGATGCGTTTTTGGCAAGTGGAGTGCACAATTCATACATGGCCTCATTAGTACGGTGCAATATATCTTGTTCGCCTAATATGTCAGTACCATAAATCACGCTCTTGTGAAAGGGTAAGAGGTGATTGCTCCAACCCCGGTTCAGTCGTCTTTGCGTTTCCAATCTGGAAAGACGTTGCACGTGGGAAACTTTTTTAAACCTTTGCCTTGGATCTGCTTCTCCTCGTGACAGAAGTCAACCCAGGCTTTTATCCTTGGTCTATCACGCATGCAGACAAACAAAGACTACATAGCGAAATACATATTGCCATAGCGATGAAAGTGTATGATAATCAAAGTCTGAAGCGTTTTCCGGTCTTCTGGAATATAGTTTGTAACACATTAGGTTACATGACAGTACCTCAACTTTGGACCTTTACTGATCTTTTAACTCCATAACGTTTAAAGTTGGTGTTTGTCCTACGTTCGGCTTAGATTTTTTGTGTCTCTGATACCTTCCCTTCATTTTAGGAAATACCCTCATACTGCGCCTACTTTTTTCTTGTTTTATATCTGTCTTTGGCGTGTGGCATATAACCTACCAATCTCTCTTTTCCTTCTTTTCCGTTTCCTAACAAATGCAAAATGGCTTCACTATCAAAAAATCCAATATTTAATTCGAAAAGTTCAATAGCCACGCTTGCCCTTGTCACAGTCGAAGCAGTGATTATGTGCTTTCTGGAGGGGTTTATCATTATGAATCACAAAGCTCTAGTTGGTAATTGTGTATTGGATGAACATGCCGAAGGTAATGCTCATTGGGAGGGGGAAACGAAGAGCAATGACTCGAACCAGTTTCACAGGTGTCAGCGAGTCCGACTTGATATACCACGGGCTTTTCATTGTCAGCCAAGCCTTCCAGATCGTACTTTGTGCTGATGCGCTTTATCACCGCAACACAGGTAACTACGTACTTAGGACTTGGACGTTAAATCTCACATAAAATCAAGCGCAACTCATCTCATTTATCCTGTTTGGATTGCTTGTTGTTGGTACGTAGTGCACAAACTGTTGTGGATAATTACTAATCGTTGCTTTAGTGTAAGTCTTTGACATGGAGGCAAAATAAAAAGGAAGATTGCGTGGTTCTCATATCATTAATACAGATACGGAGGAATCCAGCTTCAACAGCACCTTATTCTGGAGCAGATTGGATGGTAAGGATCATCCATTTATCGATTCTTTTCAATTGAACGAAAGGGTAGTGGAAGCTTAGAGTTATGGCGTCCCGTTGAATCCCGGTGGTCAAATGATGTAGCTGGCATGAGTGCAGCAATTACGTATTATGAGAAAAAGATGAGACCGATGGAGTACACTATCATAGCTCTCATTCCATGCTTTTTCTTTGCCCTTGCCTTTTACGGTTGGAGACTTCGTAAGGAGTTTGCATGGGACAATTATCGAAATTTTTCAGCAGATATGCGGTATGAGGATGACTTTCTTTCGTTCTTGATGATCTTATTCTTTTCCTATACAGAGTACGAGACGCGTTAATCACCACCAGTGTCTTGATCACCTTTCTCAAACTTGATTTCTTCTTTATTTTCTCGTTCGGAGCACAGCTGATTCCCTCACAAAAACTGCATTATGACGAGACTGTTGTCGAGGCTATTTTGGTATTCGTCCTTGGCGCGTTAGGACTATCGCTAGCTCTAGTCTCCGTGCATCGCGAAAACAAATATGCAATGCTGTTTTTTATTTTATGCGGTATACTAGCAGCTATCTATGTTATCTACCGGTTGGTGCAAATATGTGTTCCTCGAGCCTCTATGGCACAAGATCCATACCGTTTCACACGAAAGTTTTTGATATTCACCGTGGTCATCGCGCTGGTTTTAATCGTACTCACGACTGCTACCGCCATTAAATGCCTACTGAACTGGTACAGAGGCATTTCAATCGCTCAACAAAGAGAATCAGTAAAGAAGTCCGGGGTTGCTCACGGTCTTCCAATCGATCAAGGTTCGGCAGATGGATTTGAATTGAATCACCGTACAGATGTCGACAAAACGTTATTGGACGACGAAGAATCAAGATACCATTACCGCGGCGGTCGTGAAGAGGCATTCAACATTGAATAGCATACGAAACTGTATCACATATACATATATATATCTAATTTATGCATTTACTCAAGTCAAATAATAACAAACGTCATCCAAAAAATTCGTATCATTCGTCCTAACGGTCTGGTGTAGATATTATTCACAGCATTTTGCCTGAATTTTATGATGATGATTAGTATACTGTTATGCTTTTCAACTATAAGCAGTTCTAGGAATATTTTGGGATCTACAAAATAGAATATGTGGTTACTTGAGGGCACCACATACAAAAGAGTAAGTCTGCTTAAATCTACAGTACGTAACCACAGAGAGACTGCGCTATTCATGACATCCAATCAAGATGTTGCAAGAAGGATAGAGACAAAACTTGTCATCTTGTTCAACCAATCAAAGAAGAATAGACCCTGTGATCATCTGGCAGTCCCCCAGTTGTACATTATTTATGGTTGCACTCGTCGACGTTTCCATGGATTGGTATCTTTATCAGTATGCGTCAATCCGGAGCCGACAAAAGATGTGATTCTCAACGAAGCATAATGCAACAATGGCTGGAAAATGCGCTAGAGTCATCCACGTTATCGGCGTTATCAACGGGTAACAAAAGCATTGCGTATTCTATTCGACCAATTACTTCCGGTGCATCC